TTTATTCGTCATTTTAAATCAGCGTTCTCACGCACAACATTTGTCCGAATTGTTGCTTTGATTTTTTTTTGGTATATCACTTTTCATCAGAGCTCCACACAGAATTTCGTCGTAGTACGTTGCGGTTCCTAATCATCGTCGAGAGTGCAGGGTGACCTACGTAGCGCTGGTCGTTGAGGGCACTGTCCCGTCCAGCGTAACCCACGGCCTCAGTCCCGGACCGAGGAGCTCTGCGCAACAACATACGACACAAGAACTATCGCAACGTCAACACCGCTCAACTCACACAACTACCACGCGTGGGCGGGCTTTGGTTGGTCTGTCTGTCTCCAGCCGATAGCGACCAACCGAGGAGACTACAGTACCAGTGAGTCACCAGCTAGTAGCTGGCTGAACGTGAAACGACGGAGGAGGTGCCGCTTATCTACGCAACACAGCCGAAAAGGCTTCACAGCAGTATTAGTGTCTCAACCGATCACCGACAACAACAACAGCGGCACCACGCAGAGACATGGTGCGCATTCTGCTATGGCAATCGCGCACGAGCATGGCGTGCATTCTATTCACCCTCTATGTTCAGCGAGGAGAGGTCATTACGCGCGCGTGTTGCGTTACGGACAAGCTGAGTCAGACTAGACCCTCTGGCCTAACCGACCAGAGGATAAAACAAAACACAAGAGCGAACCCAGCCGACGGTAAAAAAAAAACCACACGCCCCCCTTGAAATCGCTCTTCCCAGCTCAGTCACCCGAAGACGACGACGACGACGACGGGGGGGGGCACCGCCGAATGAATAATCTACAATCGAGCGGTCACTATCGGGCCAAGGGCAGAGAGGTACCGTAGGTGACATGATGCAAGATATCACACCCCTGGACCGATTCTCAAAGCTCGATTTCTCCACAGCAGAAGAGAGTGGCAGAGCACCGAAACGGTGGCCTTGAAGCCGTCTCGTCGAGAGCTTTCCGAAAACGTCTCGTTGCTTCATTCATGCATCCTCTTGGTCGCGGAGTAATGGAGCATCGACAATCGGTCCAAGGGGTGTGGTATATTGTGTCACCTAACAGTACCTCCAACACCGGGGTACTGCTGTACAGCAGTAAGACAAAAGCCATGAGCTGCCCAAAGAGCGTGAAAGCCCGCATGTGCCTTGAAAGTATTTTTTTTTTGCCCTCGATTTTCTCTTTCTCGAACTCTCCTCGCCATAGACTGCTCATCGCATCACCCGAGACCTCGTCGCAATCTGCAACGCCAACTGCGGTGCTTTTTCAACCCAAGTCAACGCGCTAACCCTTGTGACACCACCTGCTACGACTGAACACCATCCCTGTGGCGCCATTACAACAGACGGGGACGACAAAAAATTAATAAGGCATCATCCGTAGAGTGAAACATGTCCCCCCCCCGAACCACTCAAAGCTCTTGTTGCCGCCAGTTCTTGGCGCTCCCGTTTAACTCACCACCCGCACTGTGGGCTTCATGCGATCCTCGTGCTTTTTCGCTGCCTTCGTCTTTGCCGCCGCCGACATCAGCTTCATGCCGCTTGGGTACTCTTTCAACAAGGTCTTCTGCACGGCCCGGTCGAGGGTGGACTGGACCGAGCTGTGCACAGACAAAAAGAGAGGCACAAACGCATGTTTCCTTATAGGGTGGGCTGGACCGAGCTGCGTGCAGACAAAGAGACGTACATGCACATTTTTCGAGGGTGGGCTGGACCGAGCTGTGTACAGACAAAAAGAGGTACAACGCACACTGCTGGAGCGTGGATTGGACCGAGCTGCGCATTTCGTCAACACATCCAGAGCATGGGGGGGGGGGGGCAGCACAGGCCATACCCCAGCACCCTCCCGCGGCAGGGAGCAACTAGTTGACTGGTACAAGGCAACACATATAGATAGTCCGTGTCAGATCTGTGCGCGTTACGAGGAGCACCAGCACCACACACTCAGCACGCGCCCCCTCAAGACGGCGAGTTCTTAAAGGTTCGCCAAAAAGGTGGGGTGGGGTGGTGTCAGTAAAAATGGTTACCGTGGAGGACACAGGACACTTTACACTTGCTCCACTTTTTTTTATTTTCAAAGGTGAAAACAAACCGTTGGAGCTATACATTATCTCGTCATGGTGTAATGGAGCAATGACAATCGACCCAGGGTGTGCGATACGGATCATGTCACCTACGATAGCGTTCCATCTTGCAGACTTACCATCAACCTTCATATATGGAGCAGTGACAATCGACCCAGGGTGTGTGATAAATAATATCACCTACGACAGCATTCCATCTCGCAGACTTACCCATCAACCTTCATATATGGAGCAGTGATAACCGGCCCAGGGTGTATGATACGTATCATACCACCTGCGATACTGCTCCACCTTGCAGACATACCATCAACCTTCCTCCCCGTGAGTGGGTAAAATTATCCGACGGACTTGGCGCGATTTTGAAGCTCTACCAGCACTTCATGTAGAAAACCACAAAAAACAAATTACAGGGCGGCGCTCGCTCCTGAGCCGAGCTATGTCCTCCAGACTACGCAGCGTGGCGGTCTCCAAATAAGGCGGTGATTGGTGCAGCTGAGATTGACTTGTCATATATGAGGCAACCGCCTTTTTCAGGGTGTAGAACAACCCGACGATTCCGTCTGTGCCAGCCGAGGTTCACCCGTCTAACATAGGGCGACCGCCTTACTCAAAACAGACATATATTCGGGGACTCCCACTGACTGCTGTACGCCCCCAACCGGCTTACATGTCCTCCACGTGCTGAACTTGCTCTTGGGTGAGGCCGTTGAGGTACACCGCCGCCGAAGCGGCTGTGCCGAGGGTAAACGAGTACAGCTGGGAACTGACGCGGCGGAACACTTGGTGGACAGGCTTGCACAGCTCCTCGCAGTTGCAGTCGTTTGGCATGTGCGTGGTGGCGGCGGAAGCGGCGGCAGCGTTGCTGCTGCTGCTGCTGCTGCCGTCGCTGTTGCCGCTGCTGCCGTCGCTGCTGCCGCTGCTGCCGTCGCTGCTGCCGCCGCTGCCGTCGCTGCTGCCGCTGCTGCCGTCGCTGCTGCCACTGCTGCCGCCGCTGCTGCCGCTGCCGCTGCCGCTGCCACTGCTCGAGGAAGCCCGACACAAGCCGGGCCCCCCCACGTTCAAAGGAAATGGCTAAAAGCCGACATACCATAGCACACAGTGTCGACGATCCATGAACAAATAAGGACGACGGGGTGGTGGAGATAAACGGTGAGGGAGCGGTGGTACCGTGCTGTAGCACTGGCGGCACTACAATCGGGAGCAACAGCAGCAGCTAACGAGCCTCCGCATGCACCCGGCGAAGCGTGCTGTTGCCAGGCGAACGCTGCAAAAACTAATCGTTCCGCGAGCTGGAGTTCCACACACGTGGGAGTCGCGGTTTCGAACGGATGCAGAACCGCGCAACAAAAAACACAAGACCCACAAGAAGCGTAGGCGAGGCAACAAACGCCACCAAAGGCAAGCCACCAACACGGCCCCTCTGATACGAAAGACAGCACACAAGACACACGCAAGCACTCCAGATTGATACAACACTCAAATCTAATCGGCGTAATCCCCCCCCCCCCCCCCCCTTCCCCCCCGCGCGCCGCCTGGATGCAAAAAACCCGACGTTCTCATCCATCGTACATCCACGGGATATGCAGGAAACGTGACCCCAACGCTTTGAAAGCGAAGTGAGAGTTTGCTGGTACCCCCCCGTAGTGTGTGCGGTCTCGGAAAATTCTGAAAAAGACACCGACGGGACGAATAGACGCGCTCACCGCCGAGAAGCGCCCGGACACCGGCGGTCGCCCTCCCGCCTGAAGCAAGGGCTTGGCGCGTGTCCGCAGGGACTTCCACAGCTTCTTCCGGGGCCCGGAGTCCGTGGCGTGGCAGTGGTCGTACCACACCAGGCACTGGCTCGCTAGCCTGTGGTTGTTTGTCGTGGTGGTCGTGGTCGTGGTGACGGACAGACGAAAAGGATGGTCGTAAACAGCGTCTCGTGCTTCTCAACTGGAACTTATTTAATCGCGAAAGGGTCGAAAACAGCGTGTCGTGCTTCAACTGGGCCCTAGGATCGTAAACAGCGTCTCGTGCTTCAACTGGACCCCGGCCCTAGTCGCGAACGGATCGCATCTCGTGTTTCAAACTCGACTCCCTGGTGTGAAGCTTCTGCCAAAGAAATAGCAAAGAGCCACATATCTGGCCGGTTTTCTCCCACTCACTGCAAAGACTTCAACACATGCCGTTCGACTGCTGTGGTTTTATCTCGAATGGGCAGTCAGTCTTTCGTTGATTGCACGCAAACTTCAAAAAAGCTTACCAACAACTCCTGGACCTCCTGGAAGGTGATACTCTTCCAGTTCAAAAGGCTCCGTCATACCACACGACATGTGGTACTCACGGAGAAAGGGGCTGTTATTCGCGGCGGCGACTACCGTACGAGGGAGAGTAAACCTGGCAAAATGACGCATGCATGCCGGTCTTTTCGCGAAGAAACATCCAAGGCACGCACCGCTTGGAGGGGTAAGGGCCTTTCTGTGTGGACCACGGATTGCAGCTAGCTCCTGCCACGGATTGCAGCTAATAGCTCCTGCCCGGCAGAAATGCTGCGGAGGGCTTTCATGACAAAAAAAAAAACAAGAGTCGCCGGGTATGGACGCACCGGTCGCAGACGTAGCAGAAGCACAGGGAACACTTCTCCTTGTGGCTCCTGCTCCCTTCCGGACCCTCGAATTTAAGCTGCAGAATGGAAGCACGGGGGGGGGGGGGGGGGCTTTGGTCAGCGGCGGAACGACGCGGTGTGGTCGGCTCGCCGTGTGACTACTTTTGCACACATACCTAGCAAAACCTGTGCGGGTCGTACCCGTCCAATCGCCTTCATACCCAAAGCGTCCACGCAAATACATACCGATAGTGCAAACGTTTGTCTGCGGTACTACTGCTGTACTGCTGTTCAAGTCCTCATA